TAATCCTTAATAATGAAAAAACTAATGAAATGAAGAACAATAAATGCATCTGTATCGGTAACCTGGATTTAAAACGGTTAACAGAGACACAAACTGGACTTTCATTTAAATACTGCCACCTGCTGGTAGAAAGGCGAAACATATCTATTACTATGAAAACCACATTAAATATGAATTTAATATTAAATATAGTGCTAACAGTAACAACTCTGCACACACAATAAATACCTAGGTTAAACTACCAGCTGTATTGCACCAAACAATGCGTTCATTAAACGTGACTCTTGCTGTTTACATGAAGAAATGCACAATATTATATATTGCATAATAAACTACTGTTGCTAACATATTTCTCTCGGTCCAGGTTTATTGATTGATTGATTTGAATCAGCGGCAGATCTCACAGTAAATCAGTGGCGACCTAACGTACACAATCAGTGGCAGATGCCGCGGCATCTCAAGCTGCCACCGGAAATGCCACTGGTAGCTGCCGATGCCACTATTTGAGCCAGCTGTCTCTCTGATTTGGAGCAGCCAAAGCTCGGTATTAAAACGCAGAACTGATGAGCATTTACTGATAAAGAGGATAGCAGAGGAGAGTGGGTGCCTCGTATTTTACTACAGCCTACAATATAGGAAGGATGGATGTGAATGAAGTCCATGCCTTAGGCCTGCTGTGTTGTGGGCAGAATATTTCCACTTCTACTCTTCCTGCGGCTCGGCCGACAATAAATTCATGTTTTCACAGTATTGTCGGAGTTAGATCGTCACTGTTTAAAAGTATTCCCGTGTCATAGTGTCTAGGGAGTCAATATTGCCGAAGCCTCGAGAAAAAAACCTTGATAAACATGTTCTGGTGTTTTTAAGATCGCTCAAGGTAACCAGTTGTTTTAGATCAGCCCAAACAAAGTGTTACCTGGATGATGACGTGACTGGACGACAGTAATCTATGATTGCTTGGTTAGTTTACAGCTAACGTGGGGAGTTTGAAGTAGATGTTACCTTTTGCTCAGGTGAGTTCGAATCCAGCTTGACGCAATTTTGTACAAAGTCTATTTTATTTCATTTCTTTTTTCGTATGTCGCTGTAATGTAGTGCTCACTTATACAATCATGATCGCCGCAGTAGATTAAATATGGGACTTGAAACTCGCCAGGAACATGTTTGTGAATGTGTGATGAATCTGGGGATGGAGTCAGTCTGCAGCTGCTGCACACAACACGAGCACGCGTACGCCAACCAGTTAGTTTGAACACCAGTAGGGCTACAACACCGGCGAGCTAACGTGACTTTCTCTGTGTTTCTCCAGCTTTACTAATGCTCACTTTGTTCTTACTCGACATCATCTGAACCTGTTTGGTCTGATGGGCTTCAGCACATAAACCTTTATTGTTGTTTTGTATCCTTACGTGGAGCCTGTGTTTTGCTGTGAGCCGGTTGTTTTATGGTGTTAGTGGACTGCATGTCGTTAGCTGCCGTGTTGTCGCTGTAGTACGAGAGAGGCTCGGGAGCGCGCACAGGGCTGAATCCGACCCGGAGTCCTCACATTAAAAGCACAATAGTGGCTGATGCAAGCAAAACAAGCAAAACAAGCGTGTGCTTCATTTCTGAGTGAGTTTTGAGCCCACTGACAATAAGGCAATGAAAATTTGATTTATTAAAATCAAATTCTTACATATAGCCGCTTTAACACAAGGAGATAAGAAATAATCAGCACCTGAACGCACCATCAGTTACTGTTACGTTTCTGCCACTGAGAGAGGAAGTGGTTTTGTGGTAACGAAGGAGACGCAGAAGGAAATTAACTTATTAATTAAAGTACAATAAATAAATATTAAACCTAAAGTAGGCTACCCCAAACTGTCACATGTTCCTGCAGCTGACTGACCAGAGAGGGAGTGTTTATGTGGTACCCCAAATCCAAAATGTTCCTCCCAGTTTACTGCTGATGTTTTGAAACTGAACACAGTTCACAGTTGAGTCAGCAGACCCTGAACGCACCATTAGTTACTGTCTGATCTGATCTTTATCTGACTGGCTGCTGGACAGTTTGCATTGGAACTAGATTTTATAGTAGTTTAGTAATGTGGACGTTGTTTTTGGAAATAAAACTAAACTATCTGTGTTGTTTAAAGCTGCTAGAGGTTAAGTGAGAAAATACTGCATGATGTGATGTAATTTAGGTGAACTGACCCTTTAATCTGGAATAATGTTCAGTTTGTATTGACACTGTGTCAAAGACGTGTTGATTCAGATCTATGGCGTCTTTGGAGGCTGTAGTTTGTGTTGGTGTTGTACTTAAACTGTCATGTTTATCTAAAATTTGCATCCATTTAATTTTTTATTGTAAAATTCTTTTATTTTAATTTTTATATGCAATGAATCCTGTAAACTTTGCTGCTACGGCCACTTCAGTACAACTCAGTGAGTCCTGTTTCTGTTTGTCTTCTTCTATCTATATCTACACTTCAGAATGAAGAACAGATGTCACAAACACTGGTTTGCTGTGTAAAGTACCAACTGTAAAAACATTATAAACTCACTGTGTTTTCATCCATCTGTGTTTTTGTCCCTGAAAAGAAAAGAGAAAGAGTCGACTTTAGTTTCCACAGTGAAAATCCAGCTTTATCAAAACTTCCTGTTTCTGAGTTTCATCTGTGAATGTTCTCACCTTTAGTTCTTGTCCAGATGTTGACTGCCACAACAATTATTATGAGTGCTGCTAAACCCACAGACACAATGATGAACCTCCAGAACGATTCTGAAAACATTAGAAACATTTTGACTGCACAGTTCAGTTCTGTTTGAAATCCTGCAGCTAAAGTAGCAACGAATCACAGACTTTCATCAGCTCACAGTTTTCCTGCATGTCTTTGCTAACTGTGAATGTAGTCGTCTGATTTGTGAGCAGCAGTGGATCTTGTGGATTGAGCAACAACAACTGAGTGAGACTGACTGAATAAGAGAATATCTCCACCCACAGCCGAGCGTCGCTCTGACATTCAGACTTTAGACTCCAGAAGAGGAGAGAGAGAGAGAATGTAATCACTTTCTATTTTCTGACTTATACTTTGATGACTGGCTTTATAACTTAAAAATCAACATATAAAATCAATAAAAAAGTTTGTTTTAGTTCAGTATGTGGAGAGAAAGAGGCTGACAGGAAGACAGAGAGACTCTAGAGAAAGATGAGTTACTACCTTGTAGTTTTGTTGAAGCATCATTGATTGTTGCTGATGTTGTTGCTGGTTTAGTTGTTGCTGGTTTAGTTGTTGCTGGTTTAGTTGTTGTTGTTGCTGCTGGTTTAATTGTTGTTGTTGTTGTTGTTGTTGCTGCTGGTTTAGTTGTTGTTGGTTTAGTTGTTGTTGTTGCTGCTGGTTTCGTTGTTGTTGGTTTAGTTGTTGTTGTTGCTGCTGGTTTCGTTGTTGTTGGTTTAGTTGTTGTTGTTGCTGCTGGTTTCGTTGTTGTTGGTTTAGTTGTTGTTGTTGCTGCTGGTTTAGTTGTTGTTGGTTTAGTTGTTGTTGTTGCTGCTGGTTTAGTTGTTGCTGGTTTAGTTGTTGTTGTTGTTGCTGGTTTAGATGTCAGAGATATTGCAAGAGAAAGAAAACAAGAGTAAAGTTCATCACTGTGAAAAGTCATCAAATAAACAAATGTTTTGGTGGTTTTAATCATCTTGAACAGGGGTGTGTTTCCCAAAAGCATCGTTGCTGACTGCGGTAGCAACTTCCTTGGTTGGAACTTTGCAGTTGCGACGCAACTGTTTCCTAAAACCCTAGTTGGAACTACGGAGGTAACTAAGTTGGTAACTTACGAACCATCGTTAAGCGACGCAGGTGTTCCCTGAAACCATAGTTCAGACGAACGTTCGCACCAACTGTTGTTAAGTTGCATAGTTGGAACTACAGCTCCTGACCTGTGGTTAGAAGCTTAGTTCACGGTGACTACGTCACAGAGAGCAGAAAATGCAGTGATAGGAGGTGGATGTGATGTGTTTTAAGCAGGGAATGTTAGATAATCCTGCTGTACAAACATGTTTAAGGTGAATTTAAAATAAATGTATTTGTAAAAGTACTTTTAAATGTATTTGTGGGGTCATGGGTAGGGTTGCATTGATTCAGTAGGCTACTAAGTATCTCAGTGTAGACCATCTACAAACAGCAGGTGTTTTTCTCACAGATTACCCGTCTGCTCACAATAACTTAATTTAATATTAGTCACCCAGTACAAAGGTTAAAGGACAAAACGGAGAATGTAAAGACAAGACTTTTAATATTACCTACATGTATACGTTTCTGGGCCTCTGGGGAAGATGGGTGTTCTCTAGTCTTCATTACAAACATAAAAAGGGACAGCATAAAATCCATGAAAGTACTGTAATGAATAAATCCCTGAGAGTTTTCGTTGCCTTTATAACAAAGATAAATAGAGAACTCACGGGAGTCGTATCTGTCTCAATAGAGAACATGCGTAAGCTCAGACACTTAGCGCACTGAGCTGTTCTCAAAACCTAGATGTCAGATGCCAAGGGATTCATAATAGTGTTACAGTGTTGACACAAAGATACTAAACCTATTTCACTAAATGTCTTGGAATCGCTAATAGTCCTTCATTTTTTCTTCTAAGTTATAGCCGATATTTAGGCTAAATAAAATGATTAGGTTATATATTATTTATATTGTTGATTTCATTAACACTATTGTTGATTTTCTTGTTATTGCCGGTATGACTATGATATGAATAGCCTAAATAATAATGTCACTTAATATCGGTCACAACTGACATATTTAGGCAGAATATGACGTTTTGTGAGTTTCGTGCTGTGAAAGTCAGACGAACACACCTGGAAACATGTTAGTTTGAACTACGTTGGCTCAAACTAATTAGTTCAAAGTATTACAGTAAAGTTAACTTCATCACTGTGATCATACTTATTGTAATGTTTCAGTATATTGTTCTAACAAGACAGTTTGAGCTGAAAACATTATGATGGAAATACTCACTGATAATAACAGACAGATGAACCTGAGAGTCTGGAGCTTGTTGTTGTCCTGATTTGAACTGTCTGCAGTAATAACGACCAACATCCTCGACTGTGACCTTCTTTATAACCAGAGAACAGTTCTCTGTAACACTCAGTCTGTCTGATTTAGCTTTGCTGTTTTCACCAATCTGCCCAAGTGTAACCAGCTCTACTGCTGATCTGCTCCCTGAACCACTGAAGAGCCATGTAGTATATTCACATTTTTGCTGACCGTCTATCACATTTTCACAAGGCAAAGTGACGTCATCTCCAACTCTGACAGTGAAGGAGAGGGGAAGTTTTTCAGCTGCTGCTGTTGAGAAAATGATGAAAAATAAAGTGAAATGAGAAAATGTCTGTTATGTTCATAGTTAGTGACGATTATTTCTTTATCCTTAGTTTCCAAGAGTTCACTAAACTCACCACATTAGAAACAACAGATTTGGTTTTCTTAGTTAAATCAAATGTAGCTAATAAAGAATCTTTAATAATATTGATCAAGTTATTTTTTACAATGTGCCTTCCATTTATATATGTGATATATGTATTCTTACCTGTAAACTGAAGCACCGCTGGAAGAAATAAAGAAATCCATTTGAACTCAACCATCATGATTCTCTGAGTCTCTCCTTCTTCTGTCTCTTGTTCTCGTGCTCAGAACTGTCTGAGTTTCTAAACTAGTGCTTTAGTAGAGAGACGCAGCAGCTACTTCCTGTGGTTAGGATGATGTCACTTCATCATAGTGACTTTTAGTCTGTTTTAGATTTCAGTCTCTCTGAATTTCTTATTGAAGGCCAAACAGCCAAAAACTCTGTTACAATTTTCACTTTTACATTTTTGAAATGTAGTTTTCTCTCATCCACAGTGACTGACAGAGACCCCAAATTCTTGATCAGCAACATGAGATGCAGCCATCAGAGTTCACACTTTGTTCATTCAGGTCTATTTGTGACAATGACGTGTTTCACCAAGCGAAAAGAAGAAGAAGAGGAAGCTGAACGTGAGAAGATTGTTAGTTAAGATAAATGTTTGCAATGATGCAACTTGTTTTCTTCAGATAGTGTTTATTAGAAAACAGACAGGATCCATGGTGATGTTTGACAGCACACATGAACAGACAGGTGAAGAGTCAAACTCCTCTCCCACCAGAATCTGACTCCTGATGTCCATGGTGCAATATGGTGATACTGTAGCAGCTGCTGAAGAACACAGATAAGATGATATTTTACTGCTCTGAGATCTGCTGGTTCCTCATTTTATCTTTGCAGCTCTTTTTGTTCAGAGATCTGAAGAGGAAGTGTTTCTGTGAGAATGTGGTTAACAACAGCAGCAGAGCTCTGGAGGTTTGACCCTTTAATGATGACCAGATAAACATCAGAAACAAAGGAGGTTTTCTTCAGGCCTTGTCCCTGTTACCATTATCCTTCCATCCTTGTACTTACAATCCTTGTTTGTCCGGATGACTCTACGGATACTGGAATCTTTTACACAACCGCTGCATCTCTCTAGCCATCTGTGTTTTGTACCTCTCTCTCTCTCTGTGCATGCTGGGAGTCTGGTGTTGGTGAGTGTGGCTGAGAGTTTGTGAGTGAGACTTCCTTTTTTTTCTCCTACTGTGTTTACTGTGTGTGTTTGGGTGTTTTTGGTCGACAGTAAGCTGTGTTTGTTGGAGGGGAAGTGGTCCTCAGAGAAGCCGCCCCTGTCTCTAAAGCATGGGGTGAGGGTGGTGCTGCAGCCCAGCACCACGGTGGTTTGTTCTGCTTTCTGTCTGCATCACTCAGGTCCCACCATTTATTTCCAATGAGGTGTGGAGCAAGAACTAAAGGAAGATCTGTGTTTATGGTTATAAAGGTTTTTGTGATGGAGACTGTCAGGCCAAACCATATACATACACCTTGCATCATCTTGTCACAAGATCGCTGAAGTAATTGCTGACATAATCTGCACTCTGCGCATGCGTTGGCGTCTGTAGCCACCTGTCGGAAGCTCCGTCTTAAACCGAACTCTTATCCAGTTTTAATCCACTCTTTTTCGTTACATTTTTTATATCCTTTTTATTTAACTTAAGTTTTTAACTTGAGTTTTACGTGGGTTAAGGATTTTAGTCATCCGACATGGATTTTAAGCTAGATGACCATAAAAACGCGATCAACGCTACTGATCACAACAAAGCTCCTGTGACTATGATAGCCGATATAACTCTGCCCCATGAGGACTGCACACTCCTTAAGAAAGCGAACAAGAAGATTGCTTAGATCTTATGGAAGACATCCAACGACTTTCAGAGGAACTCAAAGAGAAAGATTCCCTGCTGACTGGCTTTATGGATGTTTCTCTTGCCAACATCCAGGACACCGTGTTATGTGACCCCTCTGGCCTTCCCAGGCTTTCATCCTGCTCGACTCCGAAGCATCAGTCAACCTGGGCTGAAGTGGTGGTCCGTGGCTTTAAGAGAGGCTCGGATGGGGCTGCCTCTCCTCCGCACATCGGCCTCTCCAACCGCTATGCAGCCTTGTCTAACGACACTCCGGTCCATCCAGCGGATGCACCTGCGGCTTTGAGTCTCCCTGATACGGATCTCTTTCGGCGCACAGTGCCTGCCGACACTGTTGCATCTCCTCCACCGGCTACATCTCCTGCACTGGGCCACCGGTCCGCCGCCGGGCCTGATTGGCGGCCGTCATCCCGGTCAAAAACCTCCGCTTCCCGACGTAGGATCCTGAAGGAGGCTGTGCTCAGACGCTCCGGAGGCCGTCTCTACCCGGCACCGTCGGGTAGCCCTTCTCTCAGGTCTGTTACTGCTGCTCCAACACAACACTCGGCAGCTCACACACTCCATCCTCAGTCCGCACGCAGTGTTGAAGCAAATTCTGCTCAGTCCTGCTCTGGAACCAAACAACCGGCATCTCCTCGTCCTCTTTTCTCCCCAACCACACTAATAATTGGTGACTCCATAACCAGAAACATCCGTTTCTTTAACGCTACCACTCACTGCTTCCCCGGTGCCACCACGGCTGTCATTTAAAAAAAACTCCAGGACCTGATGCCGTCGCTCCCGTCCTCCATCACAAGAGTGATAGTCCATGTCGGAACAAATGACACAGCTCTTCGGCAGTCTGAGCTGACAAAATCAGATTTTAACCGTCTTTTAACTTTTTAAAGCAGTGTGGAAAGTCCGTTTTTATCTCTGGTCCCATTCCCACAGCTGGTCGCGGTGCTGGCCGCTTCAGTAGACTCCTTGGCCTCCACGACTGGCTCCAGTCCGCCTGCAGGGCTCATCGTGTGTTTTATGTGGATAATTTTAATATTTTCTGGCAAAGAATGTCTCTTTTTAAGACAGACGGACTTCACCCAAACAAACGGGGCTCAGAAATGTTAGCTGCACACATGACTTACGTGAATGACTAATCATTCATGCAGCACACCTGGACGCAGCACCGCTCACTGAACAGATCTCTGCCTCATTGCCACAAACAACTGTCTCCACCTGCTGGCATGTAAAGCCGTCTGCTCCCAGCGCTGTTCCAAAGACTTCTATTCCTGTCATCATCACGCTTAGACCAGTAAACCGAAATGTGCACATCCCACACAGAAATATTAGTAATCTCTCAAGGATTAGGACAACTGCACCAACTCCAGCACCCAGAACAAACTCATTTAAAATGGCTCTCTTCAATGTGAGATCACTTTCAAGTAAGACTTTTATCTTAAATGATTTTATCTTGTCTGCAAATCTAGATTTTATGTTTTTAACTGAATCATGGTTGCAGATGAATGACTATAGCCAGCTAGCTGAACTGTGTCGCCTCAATATGACTGTTTTAGTCAACCGAGGGTCAGTGGTCGTGGTGGTGGGCTAGTGAGCGTGTATAGGAAAAATTTTAAATGTCATCAAGTACGCTGTGATGAATTTAGCTCCTTTGAAGTTCTCACTCTTAAAGTTGGAGGGCTGCAACCTGTCATATTTGTTATAATTTATCGCCCCCCAAAACTGCCTAGAGGATTTTTATCAGAACTTCCTGAATTTTTATCTACTCTGGTTTTAAATTATGACAGATTTGTTCTTTCTGGTGATTTTAATATTCATGTTGATGACCCCACCAATCTTAATGCAACTGACTTTTTAATATGGCCACTTCTTTTAACTTCAAACAACATGTCAAAGGGCAAACACATAACCGTGGTCATACACTGGACTTGGTTTTTACCCTGGGTGTCAGCATTTCCTCTGTGGAATTAGTGGACATGACCATATCTGACCACAGATGTATTGTTTTTAGCTGCGATTCGCCTGTTACTCATGCCGCCTCACCAAGCTCCGTGTGTTCTCGCATCTTTAATGAACAAAGTGTTTCAAAGTTTTGCGCATTCTTTCAGAGCCAAAGCCAACACCTGTCTGATTCCAACACCAACAATCTGGTCGATCATTCAATCATATCTGCTTGTCGTCACTAAATATTACTGCTCCTCTAAAGGTTAGGCCTACGTCTAAAGCTAGTAAGCAACCCTGGATAAATGACAGCATTCGCAGCCTAAAAAGGGAATGCAGGAAAGCAGAGCGCAGATGGAAAAAATCCAGTCTCCAAGTCCATTACCTCAGTCTGAAGGATTTATTAATTAACTACAATAACTTGGTTAAGGATGCGAGAACACACTATTTTTCTGAACTCATTACTACACATAAACACAATTCCAGGTTTCTGTTTAAGACTGTGGATCAGCTGGTAAACCCAACCCCTCCTTGTGCCTCAGCTGGAAGTAATGATGACTGTGAATTGTTTTTATCTTATTTTACCAATAAGGTGGTGTCAATCAGAGCCTCTATTACCCCCGCGGCCTCTTACTCAGAGGTTCCTCACCAGCAACAAGAGAGTTTTAACCAGTTTTATCCCATCGACTTGTCTGAGCTTTTAAAAACAGTATCACAAATGAGAGTGTCCTCCAGCCCACTTGATGTAATACCTACAAAGTTTCTGAAAGTAACAGATTCTGTTGGGCCCCATTTGATCTCTGTTTTCAACAGCTCCCTATCTACTGGTTGTGTCCCTGATTATTTTAAAACGGCTTGCGTGAACCCACTTTTAAAGAAACCTGGTTTAGATCCCTCCCTCCCACATAATTTTAGACCAATTTCAAAACTGCCTTTTATTGCAAAGATTCTAGAAAGAATTGTGTCCAAACAGCTGCTCACTGTACTGGAAAATAACAAATTATTTGAAAAGTTTCAGTCTGGTTTCAGGAAGTACCACAGCACTGAGACTGCCCTGCTTAAAGTCACCAATGACCTTTTAATGTCTGCTGATGAAGGCATGTGCTCAGTCCTTGTACTCCTGGACCTTAGCGCTGCTTTTGACACCATTGATCACAACATCATGTTAGACAGACTGAGGCACTGGGTGGGGATCTCTGGTACTGCCCTAGAATGGTTTTCATCCTACCTGTCAAATAGGAAGTTTTGCGTGTCTGTAAACAACTATGTCTCCTCATTCTGTCCAGTTAAATATGGTGTGCCTCAGGGGTCGGTCTTAGGACCCATTTTGTTTTCCTTGTATCTGCTTCCCCTTGGACATATTATCCATAAACATGGCATTTCTTTTCATATTTATGCTGATGACACACAAATATACTTGCCCGTCAGATCCACAGACCCTGGAATGCTGAGTTCACTTAACAACTGCCTTTGTGAAGTTAAAAAATGGATGTATGGATGCAATGTAATGGATTCATTTGGCTACAACTCATTTCAGTGTACAAAATGAAAATATAAACTAGGTGTTGCCATTTAGGTAAATGCTGTTTCATGAAAGCATTGGTGGTTGTGAACTTTGTTAATTTGTTCTCTCTAATCATCTAAATGAATCAATATGAAAAGCTAGGTTACCATACAACCCTTTCTTCTTTCCTCTCAAGGTGCTTTGCTTAAATTTCTAAGCCCAGTGAGCCCACCTCCAAAAGATGTCTCCACAGATGAATGTCAGGTGGATGTGCTGCCTGTACAGTGAGGTCTTTCATCTTGTTGGATATATTTGAATGTTTGTGTTCCTAATTACAGACATAGCCTACAGTATTTTTCCAGCTGTTCATCAGGATGGTGGATGTGTTTTGCATTTAAAATAATTAATTATTATGAATGTGTTTTCATAATAATGATATAATATTTTTGATTAAAGTGTATGAAATGTGTCAGTATGTGCCTCACCAGCTTCCCTTGCTAAGCATTACCTCAGTCCTCCATTAGGGTCTGAGCTGCTTGTATCTGATGCTGCCTGTACATCTCTGGCTGTGCTTTTACTGGCTGAGGCTGCCTGTATTTCACCTGGGTCTGTGTGACTTTCTAAAACCTTCTGTGTTTCAGCTGTGTGCTGGCTGATGATCCAGCATCTCCTCTGCAGACAAACTTCAGCATAGCCCCAGTAAATTATAAATCAATACTTGCAAGATATTAATGTTATCAGCTGCATCAAAAAAGTTGCTAGGATGTGTGAACTTCTCTGGGACGTTGGCCCAGGTTTGGACAGGGCAGACCAAAAAGGGTTAATGCGAGAGGATGTTTGTTTTCAAACAGTGGAAAAACAGTATTGTTGCCAGATTTTGGGAGCGATTGATTGCTTCTTATGCGAGAAGACGTGGACAACAGGAAGATATGTTCTGTGTATAAAAATGTGTAGATTCAGACTTGATCCTCTGTCTTTTTACCATTTCATAAACACCATGCTGTGTGAAAGGTTCCCTCACTTCCTATACTTTATCGATCAGAATTTAGACGATGTCATAATGTTGATGATGTCATAAACACCGTTCTGAGGGGAAAGTGATGTCACTGCCTGCTTCCACATTCTGAAGATCAAAGCCACAGAGTGAACACATTCTGAAACTTCAGCTCCTCAGTCTAATGAATCATTTACAACTGAGCTTCGTGTACAGAGTCCAGAAAAACAAGCGGTGGTTAACACAGTCGTTAAGAGAGAAGAAAAATGAGCTGCATCGAGGAAACGGTCCCTTCTGAGAAGTTCTTTGACAATCTGGGCATGGACGTCAGCCAAGAACAAGCAGATATATCTGACCAAGAAATCAAAGTGGACTTGGATGCAGTCATTCAACAACTGGAAGGAATAGATCTCCAACTGCAAAGGTACGCTAGACAATTGAGAAAAAACAACTAGCAGAGCTCCATGAAAATAGCCAAACTCAAAAAGAATTGGATGCAATGTCCAACGCTATGCAAGTGGCGAAAGAAGCCATTTTGAAAGCCAATGAAGCTTTGCAAAAAGAACGTCAGGAGCTACACAATATGACACATGATAAATCCTTTGATGAGAACTATGATAAAGTCAAAGCAGAGCTCTTAGCAGCAAGCCAGCAAAACGAGGCGTTGAGACAAGAAATTCAGGAGCTCAGGAGAAGACCCCAAAATGAACCATCTTTGGAGGAATTGTGTAATGTCATTAAGGAGGAAACAGAGGCCATGAGGCTCCAAAATGACAGCATACAAGAGGAAATCCAGGAGCTCAAAGAAAAGCGTAGAAATTTAACTGCTCTGGATGAAACGTATGACACACTGAAAGCAGAGAAAGAGGCGATAAGCCAGCAAAATGACGACCTGAGACAAGAGATTCGGGAGATATCCAAAGATCTCCGATATGAAAAGGCTCTGCGGGAAATGAATGAGCAAATGGAAGTTTCA